TCTCTACATGGCCCAATCTGCTCCAGATTTTTGGTGCATCGCCAGGGAGCTCAGCCGAAGGCATCCATGCAGATCGCATGGAGGATGGCGAGCGAGCGTCGGCGGTGGCGGGCGGGTGGCGGTGCTGGTACCCCCGCGGTGGCTATAGGCCGGAGCAGCGCTAGCTGCGAGGGCCGCTTGAGGCTCCGCGGAGCTTTAATGTTAGTTTTATTTCCCTTTCACACTTTGTCAAGAACTGGTTCTCAGACAACCAGAGCAAAGAATGCAGGAAAAGATGTCTGAGGTTGAAATGAAACCTTGAAAGTGTGATACTTTTTTAAATTGACTTTATAGATTTTTATGATCAGAATCAGTGAGTGTCCCTTCAAACATAAAGAATAGTTCTGTTAAACTTGCAGACTTTGCTGCATTAACTTGTTCAATGTGAAAATGCACTGAAACATAAATTTGTCATTTAAAACTCATTGGGAAGCCAGCAACAATCCCTCGCRGAATACATGTTTTTATTTTGTGAAGGCATGGTACAGAAAGGTTTCTGTGTGCAACACTGGTACAGGTGCAACAAGACTTATTCCTTAAAGTCAGTACTTTAATGAATCAGACCAGTGTTAAAGTCAGGCTCTACATAGTTCTTAAAGCGTGTCAGAACAAGTTTCAATGTCTTTCGTACCCATTCGTTTATTCTGTGTTCAAGGATTGCGAAACTCCTTTCAGTTCGTAAGTCAGATGAAATGTAGACCAGCAAGTTCAAGCTGTGAATCTGGGATTTTGCAGGCTGCAACTGCAACAAAAGTGACTTTTCAAAAGGTAGGAAAGTCTATTTGATCTCATTTGACACCAACTGATTTTATAGAATGACAGTTTTTCAGTGTTGAAACCAAAATCAGCTGGTTGTAGAAAGTATTCATCCCCTCAGATGTTTTATGTTATTACTGCTGAAATTGAATGAAACTCTCAGAAAGCATGCATGTCTACAACTGATTAACCTTTGGAGCCTACGAAAAAATGGTGACAACTTAGTCATTTTTACAGAAAACTGAAGCTAAAATTGATGTGGTTCTGGTAGCTGAGAGTCATCACTAACACATAACCAATTGCAAAAGGACTTTGGTAAAAAGGAGATGTGCAATTTGCTTTCCATGAATGACTACAACTTTGTTTGAACACATTTTATTAAAAAAGGACAATGAACTTTTATCATTTTCACATGAATATACTGTAAACAAGCTCAACAGCTAATATTAATAATAATTTAATTCAGAAAAAAACTAAATAACTCAATAAACACAATAAAAACAAACAAATTAACAGAATAAAAGAACAATAAATAAACACGTCATGGCAAATGGTAATGCTAAGTAGATGAGTTTTAAGTTGAGATTTGAATGAAGTAATAGAAACTGAATTTTGCAAACCCTGAGGCAGAGAGCTCCAGAGGTGGGGGCCAAGCATCTGAAGGCTCTTCACCTGATCCATGGTGGTCAGGTGAGCAGGTGGACCGGTGAGACGGGAGGAGGATCTGAGATAGCGAGAATGCAAGCATAAAGAAGCAAAAGATACAGAGGAGCGAGGTTGTTACTGGCTTTAAGTGATGTGTTGTTTGGTGTTACATGGCTGATGGAGTATGTGTGTGTGGGGGGGGGGGGGGTTCTGGTGATAAAGTGATAAAGACAGAAAGACAATTAATTATACAAGTGCAAAAATATAACAGATAAGAACTAACAAAGCAATTCATGACACAAAACAAACCTCACACTTTGAAAATCAAGATATGAGTGAATATACGTTAGGTTTGTTTTTAGGCAAACTTTGAGTTTCTTAGATCAGAGTAGCTGTYGCCATTTTTGACATTTCTTGGTAATTTGTTCCAAGAACGTGGTCCTCTAATTAACACCACCTTATGACCAGGAATAATAAAGCATGTACAAATGTAGACTGTATAAGTTTCCCCTGCAGTCGTGTACAACAGGAACATCTCAGACTGTGGTTCATACAGATACAGTTGGTCAAGAATATTTTTGCTGTTTATAAATCCCCAGCAGCCTCCATCAAGACTTAAAAGGAATCAGTTTAGAACCACAAGAAATTAGCCTCTCAAGTCAGGAGGTAAAACTGACTAATTATGTTCAGAGAAGCATGAGTGTTTCTAACTTTGTCTGATTTCAATATTGAATCTATTAATAGTCAGTTACAAGCAGATCTTCAGACATTTCATGGTTGGCTTCAAGATAATCTTTTGTCAATTAATGTTAAAAAAACTGTGTGCATGTATTTTTCCTCACCCAGGAGACATTTCAATATAACAAATCAACTTACGTTTTTAAATAAACCCCTTGATATTGTCACTACCAACAGTCACTACCTACAAATATCTTGGAATTACTTAGGATTCTCATTTGACTTATCCTGATCATGTACAAGTCTTAACCACTAAGTTGAAACAGAAATTATACG